CCCCCGCCGGGGGGGGGGGGGGGGGACCCGCTCCGTCACAGCATACACAGACAGCGATGTAGCACGTGGGATTGGTCAGGTGGTGATGGAATATGTAGGTGTGGCTGTCATTCCTAGTGTCAAAGGGACCTGGGGAGTTTCAAAGAGAACCTGGCTCACCTGCTCTAGAGTCTTCCTGAGTTGGGTGTTGAGCTGCTCCAGCTGAGTTTTGTCATGTTCCAGCCTTGCAACAGCTCGCTGTAGACATGCTAGGCGCTGCTGCAGAAGTCTCTTGGTCAGGTGGTGATGGAATATGTAGGTGTGGCTGTCATTCCTAGTGTCAAAGGGACCTGGGGAGTTTCAAAGAGAACCTGGCTCACCTGCTCTAGAGTCTTCCTGAGTTGGGTGTTGAGCTGCTCCAGCTGAGTTTTGTCATGTTCCAGCCTTGCAACAGCTCGCTGTAGACATGCTAGGCGCTGCTGCAGAAGTCTCCTCTCTGCCCCCACTGCTAGCTGCTCCTCTTCCTTTCCCTTGTCCTGAGGGGTGCACAGTCTCGGTGAGTCAGTGTCATGTGGGTGTGGTAGTAGTCATGCTGCCCCAGATGCTCAGGGTGGGGAATCTGTACAAAGTTAGCTAGGGAGGGCTACAGATAAGTACATTGTGTCTGATGGGGACTGCTCATTAGTTGCTGCCAAAGGAGTCACCAGTACCCCATAGAGCTAAGGGGCCACCCCCAAACACAGCCACCAGTGGTGCTCTATGCTAGGACCCTGACAGAATTAATCTAGATTTCTTACTTCTTCCCTCCTATGTGTACCTGTGACCTGCTCACTCTCCCCTCCCTCACCTGCCATTTTCTTGCTGTTGTGTCCCTAAGCAACAGATCCACATGTCCATTCAGAGCCTTGTTTGGAACCCTCTCCTCTAGGTCTTTGAGAGCTGAAGCAAGCTGCTCCTGTAGTAATGACAAAAAGCACAGATCATCCTCTGGAAGCTGGGTTGCAGTGCTTCCTGCTGGAGAAGACACTCACTGCTGCACTTGGCATCTGCCTTCAGGTATATGGCTTGTGATTGAGGTTTCATTGATACAGCTGGGGTAGTAAGGGAAGGTTACTCATCTATGCAGTAACTGGAGTTCTTCGAGATGGTTGACACCATGTGAGCTCCACCTTAGGTGTGTCAGCGCCGCTGTGCCCTGATGAGAGATTTGTGCTAGAAGTGCCCATGGCTGGCAGCGCACATGGAGTGCTGGAGCAAGCGGTCTGAGTTAGCTACTCCGCATGCACAGCTGGTCATCCTTTGTTCCTTCTATGACCTGTATACATGTAAGTCTGAAATCGAGGGAAGGAAGGGTGCATGATGGAGCACTTACGGGGACAACCATCTTGAAGAACTCCAATTCCTGAAGAGGTGAGTAACCTTCCCTACTTCTTCAAGGAGTGTCCCTGTGGGTGCTCCACTTTAGGAGATTAGAAGCAGTGATCCTGTTAGGAGGTGGGAGCTTCGGTGTGTGTGACTCTGACTGATGATATTGTTTGGCCAAATTTTGTTTCTGAGTCTGCGAATGTCTGGATGGCATAGTGTGGTGTGCATGTGTGTATAGATGCCCAAGTGGCTGCCCTGTAGATGTGTTCCATTGAAACACCTTATAGGAATGCAGTAGTAGCCGCCATGGCTTTTGTGGAGTGAGCTCTTATGTTAGGAGGCGGCTCCTTTTGTGCTAATGTATACACCAGGTCTATGTAGCTAGATACCTATTTAGATAGCCTTTATTTTGATATGGGTAATCCCTGTGATCTCTCTGTGGATGAGATGAATAATTGTGAAGATTTGCGGAATGGCTTTGTGCGTTGTAAGTAAAAGGCAAGTGCCCTGCGGATGTCCAAAGTATGAAGCACCTTCTCCCTTTGGCAGAAGACAGGCAAGTCTGGTTCATTGCAATGAATGGAGGTAAGTACCTTTGGGATTAATTTAGGATGTGTTCTCAAAACTACTTTGTCTTTGTGGAATATCGTGTATGGTGGGTCTGAAATGAGAGCCCCCAATTCTCCTATCCATCTTGCAGAAGTAACTGCAACAAAGAATGCAACCTTCATCGAGAGGCATAATAAAGAGCATGTAGTTAGCAGCTTGAAGGGCCTGCACACGAGCACTGTCAGTACGAGATTTAAATCCCATGCTGGTGTTGGGTCTTTAAGGGGCGGGAACATGTTTTGTAGACCTCGCAGGAATCTTTTGACAGGTGGGTGGGTAAAGACAGAGTGTAATTGCAGTGGAGGGTGGAAGGCTGACATGGAGGTGAGGTGTACACTTACAGAGTTCAGTATGTACACATACTGTAGTATGTGTGTTATGTGTGCATGGACTGGCTCATACTTGTGGGTCGAGCACCAAGTTGTGAAGTGCTTCCATTTCTGTCTGTGTTTTTCTCGTTGTAGGTCTCCTGGAATTTTTGAGGATGTGTTGTACTGGTTCTGGTAAGCCCATTCCATATCGTTTAGCCTGCTAACATCCACGCTTGGAGATCAAGGGTTCGTATGTCGGGATGGTGAAGCTGACCATTGCATTGTATAAGCAGAGCTCGGACTGGTGGGAAGTGATTCGGAGATTAGATGCTCATCTCCAAGAAGTATGGATACCATGTTTGTCTGGGCCAGTTGGGTTCTATAAGAATTACTCTGGCCCTGTCTTGTTTGATCTTGAGGATTACACGTTGTATCAGTGGAAATGGGGGGGATGTGTAGTACAGATGTGCCTTCCACGGTATGGCAAAGACATCCCCAAGGGAGTTGAACCCTATGTACACTCTGGAGCAATACTGTGGGAAACGGGCATTGTTGTGTGTGGCAAATAGATCCACTGAACCCCCACTTCTTGAAGAGGAAGGTCAGCACTGAAGGGTTTATTTCCTATTTGTGGTTTTGCGGGAATTACCTACTTAGGATGTCTGCTAGAGTATTGTCCTTGCCTGGGATGTAAGTTGTGACAAGGTGTATATTCCTTGGAATGCACCACTCCCATAAGTGGACTGCTTCTTGGCAAAGTTCGTATGACCTGTTCCCTCCCTAGCTGTTGAAACAGTACATTGTAGTTATATTGTCTGCAAGGATCTGGACTGTTCTGTCCTGCACGAGCGGGAGGAAATGTGTGAATGCATTTCTTACTGCCCTGAGTTCAAGCAGGTTGATGTGTTTCCCTGTATTGTATTTGGTCCATTGAGCCGGTATTCCTCATTAATGAAATGTCTGTAGTGATTGTTACTGATGGTGATCACTACTCATTAATGAAATGTCTGTAGTGATCATTACTGATGGTGGGGTTCTTTGGAAGGGGACTCCAGCACATATATTGTCATGTAGGGTCCACCATGTGAGGGAGGCCTTTATCCTGATTGGTATTGTGGAGGCAGGAAAAGGGAATAAGAGAATTTGTGTGCAGCCATCTTGGTCTTGTTAACAAGAGAGCAAGAGTCAGGCTAAGTCTGTGGCCTGACAATGCGAGAGCTGTAATTAGACACTGCCTTTGCCTCTCGCCTCTATACGGAGATAGGGATAGAATGCTGACTCTGGCAGGGACCTTGAGATAAGGAGCATCTGGGTGGAACTAAATAACTGTTAACTATTGGTGTTTGTAATGGGAAGGAGACTAATTGTTATTGTTGTTATATCTAATAGACAGTATATAAACTGCTTCATAATTGCTTGTATTCGAAGATCTACCTCGGAAGGGGGGGCTCCCCCCCGTACGAACCATTTTTTCCCTTGCTGCAGCTCGTAATAAAACTGCCTCTGGCTACTTGTTGCTTAAACACAATGCAGAGTGAAGGCTTGTTTTCTTCCACAGTATGGTGAGTTGTTTATGTGATGGGTGCATGGCTTGTACACTGTGTGAAGCCATGCTTGTAGAGGTCTCATGTGGAGGCTGGCTGTTACTACTGGGCTGGCCTGTGCCGTTGATATAAGGTCTTTTATTGTTGTGAACCTGTGTTCTGGTAGAGAGGCTATGGACTTCATGCAGTCTAACGGTGCCCCTATACACTCTAATGTAGGAGTTGGGGTCTGTGTACTTTGCTATTTTTATCTGGACTCCGAGGTTGCTGAATAGGTCTCTGATGGTGCTGACTGCCTGTGTTGTATGTTGCTCTGTGGTGCCTGTTACTAGGCAATTGTCTAGGTAAGGAAATATAGTGATGCCCCTTTTCTGTAAGTGTGCAGTTACTACTGATAGAACTTTTGAGAACAATCACGGGGCTGTTGAAAGTCCTGTACTGGAAGTGCTTGTCCTGTATCTTGGTCATAGTCGTAAGTGTGCAGCTGGTTAAAGGGTGTGGATCTGTATCTCTGTGTAAATAGTCTGTCCTGCTTTCTCTTTGTAACAGGTGCATGGATGCCCAGAGTCTTTAATGTTGCTCGTGAGTCCTTTAGGGTGGGTAAGAAGGCATTTGTGGACTTGGCGAAGAGCTTGATCCCGTCAAATGGCAGGTCCTCGACCACTGACTGCACCTCTCTTGGGAATCCTGAGAGCTGAAGCCAGGATGCTCACCTCATCACTACTGCAGAGGCCAAAGATCTGGTTGCTGTGTCTGTGGAATCCAGCATAGCCTGTAAGGCTGTTCTAGAAATTAGTGCCCCTTCCAGTAAAATGGACTTGAATTGAACCCTTTTGTTATCTGGAAGGGATTCGATAAAGACAGCTAATTGATCAAAAGTGTGATGTGTGTATTTTGCTAATAATGCCGTTTAATTGGCTATACAGAGCTGGAGGCTTGCCGATGAGTATGCTTTTCTAACCATCATGTCCAGCCTCTTCCAGTCCCTGTTGTAGGGGACAGTTCGGGTAGCTTGCCTCTTCGGTTAACTGCATCCACCACTAATGAATTCAGAGATGGGTGGGAGAATAGGAATTCTGCTCCTTTAGGGGCGACATATTATTGTCAATCTGACCTCTTGCAGGTTGGTGATATTGTGGCTGGCGTTTGCCAGAAATATTTAGCCGGGTCCACGAGAGCCTCATTTATTGGGAGAGCTAGTAGTTTCATGTATGGAGATGTATGTAGTATGTTTGTGAGTTTGTTTGGCATAGTAGTCAAGTAGATCTCCAGTGTGTCAGCAACTCTTAAGAGTTCTTCAAATGACCTGAAGTCATCCCCAGCTGTCAGTGGTGGCAGCATGATTGTATCATCAGTAGAAGCTGATGGCTTGTTCACAGGAGGAGAAGGGGGTGTGCGATCATTGCACATAATGTCTACTTCCTCCTCCACCGTGTCTGAACTGTATTCGTCTGGAGAGAGTTCTGCTATAGTGCTTGATTTTGGTGCTGGGGATGGGTGCTGTGGTGGCTGCATCTGCTGTGTTCGGTATGGTGCCCATGCGTCCCAGTATGGCCAGTTTGCTGGGATAGGAGATGGGAGCCATTGCTGAGGTTGCCAGTGCTGGTTGGGCTGGGGCGAGGAGTACCACTGTAAATATGTATGGATGAGGAGTACCACTGTAAATATGTATATCTTCATCATAACTGAATACTGGGGCCATTGATGTGGCCGGAGTGGATGATAAAGCTATGACTCGAGGTATGTGGAATGCCATTGCTACCAAAAAGGGGTGTTCCCGGTACTGATGTCACTAAGAATTCCCCCACGGTCGTGAACTGCTGTGCTGGCGGCAGGTGAGAGGGCATTAGCAGGACTAGTAGTGCTGCTGGTGTCTATAGCGGCATTAGACTTGGTGTCCTTTGCCTTTTGTGCTTTGCCGGCGCTGAATGCTTTGTTGGTGCCAATAGCGCTGCTGAGCTGCCCGTTGCCGCTTCCAAGCACCGCTTTGTTGCTGCCAATAGAACTAGCTGTACTGTCGATTGCCATGGTCAGTGCGAGTGGCTTTTTGCTCGGTGCTGGCATGGAGGGTTTGCATTTCGCCTCCAGCTATACCTCTGATGAGGCATGAGCATTTTGCTTGGGAG